TCTAGTGTGAGCATGGGGCCAGCATCATGTGCAGGCTGATTACCCCTACTTCAGAAATCTGGAATCTCCACTGCTGTGACAGTCACAATGTTTTTTATCTTATAGAATACCAGATTTAAAATTTCTGAATGAGGGGCTGGGAAGGCGGCTCAGTGGTAGAGTGCTTGCCTTGCATGCCTGAGGCCCTGGGTTCGATTCCTCAGCACCACATAAGCAAAAAGAAAAAAAGCCGGAAGTGGCGCTGTGGCTCAAGTGGTAGAGCGCTAACCTTGAGCTGAAGAGCTGAGGGACAGTGACCAGGCCCAGAGTTCAGGCCCCATGACTGGACCTCTCCTCCCCCCCAAAAAGACTCTGTCAAGTCTATGTGGATGTTCCCAAATCTAATCAATTCTCCAATCTAAACTAATTCTTAGTCCTACTAAATTTTGGGTAAGGGAGACTCAGCCTATAGGAACTCCTTCCTGTTGACTGTCCATAGAGTGGGAAGCCCATGGTACATTGTGAGAGACAAAAGGCCTTTGATATGGTTTGGATCTGGAGTCTCTCCAAAGCCCATGTGGTTGAAGGGCTTGGTCCCCAGCTTGGTATTACTGGAGGTGGTGGAAACCTAAACAAAACAGTAGCTGGGTGAAAGTCTTCTGGTTACCAAGGATGTGACCTTGAAGGAGATGTTGGGACCCCTGGGGGCGAGGCAGCTTGCTCTGTCTCAGGATGGGGTGCTCTGCCAAAACATGGACTGAAACCTCCAAAATGCTGACTTTTTTTTGTAAACTGATTATGATCTCCTTGGCTTACATTTTCTTCTTCAGTTTAGGTTTTTTCTTTTTAATTGAAAACTTTGGGAGACTATTACCTTCAGACTATTTAAAGGTCATTAATAGGTAGCAATCCAGGTGTATCTGAAAGAAATCTAAAATGTAGGAGGAGAGAGATACTTGAAAAAATGCTTTCAGAATATTACAAGTTGTTCTGTAAATCTATCATTTTGCTTGTGAAGACTGACGCTGCCATAATCTGGTTTTGAGGAGCAGTATCCTGAGACAGCCTGGTGGCCGTCTCCCCTGTGCCCGCCATCCAGAAGAGCAAATAACAGGATGGAGGCTCTGGCTTCTTCCTCTATAGGGAGACTGCTTATTAATTGCACATTTTCATCCTTATAGGCTGATTGCACATCATGTAGCAGCGTTACAAAAATAGCAAGGGAACATATTAAAAAAACATGCCTGTTGGGTGTTTGTAGGTCAAGCCTGTCTTCCTAGCTACTCAGGAGGCTGAGATTGGAGGCTCACAGTTTAAAGCCAATCAGAGGAGGAAAAGTCTGTGAGACTTCATTTCCAATTAACCAGAAAAAAGTCAGAAGTGGCAGTATAGCTCAAGTGGCAGAGTGCTAGCATTGAGGGAAAAAGCCAAGTAAAAGTGTGAAACCATAAGTTCAAGCCCCAGTACTGGTGCACACAGGCTGGTGCACATGTGTGTGTATACACACAGACATACACACAATCTATTGCAAGTTGGTATGAGGTAAGGAATATATGATAAATTATCGAGTATCACTAAGAATCATATGACATAATTATTTTTAATTAGGAATACCACACAGAAACATGCTTAGGATAGATTCAAAGGAGAAATGAAAAAGAAAATCACTCTATTATAATATGTATGTCACAAGTGCAGTGAAGGAGAACTGGAAGATGAGATTCCTGAAGAGAAATATAAAGCTTCTGTTAGGAGACCAGGGTTGTAGATTCTTGAAAATAATTCCTTTAATTTGATAAAATAACAGTAATAATATTAATAGTGAATTCATTAAATAAATGATGCTGTGGAACCAAAGGGGTAACATTAACAAATTAGTAGATTGGATCTGAAAAAGAGAAAAACATTTAAAAGAATGAATCTTCCCTTCTTCCACTTGCCAACTTAATGGATATTAAGATCCATAGTATTGAAAACCTTTTCCGAGGAGCTGGTTTGTAGGGTTTGGAAGAGAGTGTCAGCGTATGTCTGTTTTTTGTTTTGTGGGGATGTTTGTAATAGAAAATGATTCTTGAAATAATTGTCTAATATGGCCCAGCTTGGGTATCTTGGCTGAATTTACCTCTAAGAACGACAGAAACAGTTTAGGAAAAGAACTCATGTGCCTAGTAGTTAAGGATAGAGAACAAGCGAAACTGAATAGAGAAATTTTGGAAATAAAATGCTCACTTATAATCAAGTAGAAATGGGTATTTGGAGTAATAGCAAAGTAAATGAAGCTAATGGGTATTTAAATTTCTATTTGTCAGGAAATTCTTAAAGGCTACCAATCATCTTGTCTAAAATTGTTGATTGGAACAAACTACTCTTGTCTGTTCTAAAGGGCTGGGAGTGTTTTTCTTCTCTTTTTTTCTATCTCGTTTCAAAGAACATCAGTTTTACCCTGGATGATATTTGCAAAGGTTGGTTTAGAGCACTGAGGCACCTTGCTGATTATAGGATGGAGTGGCCTAATTGAAGATGTTAAGAAAATTTACATATGACACAATCACACATTTTCATTCTTTTTGGTAAACGAAGTTATATCCCCTCCCCCGCCCCAGCTTGACCATTGCAGACCATTCTTTTAGCACAGGAAAATATTCCCTCAAATGCATACTTAGACCTTCAGCATCTGAGTAGATGGAAGAAGAAACCTGAAATTGATTTCTTCTGAAATAGATCTTGGAAATGTAATAAATTACCTAGTGTCTCTAAGTCAGTAATTGACTCTTGATTTGGAAACCAGATGATGTGTGTGTGTGTGTGTGTGTGTGTGTGTGTGTGTGTGTGTGTGATATAAAGGAGTTTGAGCTGGTTCTAAGAAATCAGAAAGCAACTTTCCCAAACCCCAAGCCATCCCTGACATGACAGACACCCTCGAGACGTAGGTAAGATTTGCTGAGTCTGGAGCACCTGTCTGGCTATTTCCTACTTCTAAAGGTGTTCCACTGGTAAACACATTAGAGAAAGCTTTTGTTCCTTTGTATTAGCCAATAATTTTCTCCTCTATATAATTATTATTTATCAACTTCAAAATACGTTGACATTATTAAAAGGCATCGTGATTTTAGGAAGTTCTTTCCCCATCTTAAATCCACAGTCAATTATATTTAGTGCAAAGTTTCTCCTCAAAAATGTTTTACATCTTCAGTTTCATTCCCAGAAATATATTGAGTTGAACAAATAATACTTGGTAATAAAATACATCTGCTTTCACACATCCACAAAATTCTTTTGAATAGTAGAAATGTATGTAATTCACGTTGCATAATTTTGATCACAGATTGCATAATTTTGGCATGCACTTTGCTATAACTCACTTCCTGGCAACATATAGAGAGTGTTTGATGTAATATCATACAATGTTCAAGCTGGGAGTGAATGATAGAAACAATTTAGTATAAAGTTGTCCCTCCCTCAACCTCACAGAGTGGCAAACTGAAGTGTGACAATGTAAAATCTGTCCAAGATCACATATTCCATTTTTTGACAGCTATGCTCTACTAATACAGATTTCTTCCTTGTGACCTTAAACTTAATCTGAAAATTGTGATTTTTTTTAAAGAGCATGATTCATAAGAAAGAACAATTGCTACAAAGTTGGACTTAAAATAATGGAAGAGATAAGCCTAAAAATTTGTCCTCAAGTCACCTTTTGGGATAAAGTGACTAAAACACTCCAATAACCTAACAAATCATCATTCTTTGAGGGATACAAGATAATCCTGAAACCACCCCCCATGGAATATATCCTCATTCCTATATAAAATTCAATATAATTCTGCAACAGGGACTTGATAGTATTCTTGTGGATTGTTATTTTGTCTTGAGAAGGAGAAATAGGAATTATATTTTAGAATACACCACTGTGTTTTAGGATAACATTTTGATTTTTTTTAACCTCAGTTGCAAAAAAAAGAGAGACTTTTTATCATGTAAAGTTCATTGACCTAGTGAATTTAATAAGAAGCTTGACTTCAATTAATTCTAACAGATTAACTCTGGCTTTGCTTGCATTTACAGTCCCTGGCAATGTGGTACAAATTTGTCCATAATGATACCTCCAGAAACTTAGCCATTGCACAGATTTTTGCATATTGTTCAAGACTAATGTATTAACTTTGTAGTTTTCAGGTTTTAGAAAGGTTTTACCAGTATATATGTCCTGGAAATACTAAAAACACTTTAATATATATATATATATATATTTAAAATTCATTTTGTCTTGATGAAAACAAATTCTATTCTCTGAAAATATTACATAAAGTCACTATGCACCTGGTGAAATTATACATGAATAATAATGTTTAGTTTTTTAAGATACATATTCAGGAAATCAATTTAAACAAAGAGTTTAAGAAGTAGCACATCAATTTAAAATAAACTTTTCATGTAACTGATCACACTCATCTTCTCTGAGAACACCGCCACTAAACTAGATCATACAATTCAGCTGTTTTTAACTCCTCTTCCTCCAGAAACCATTCTGTCTAACCAAGGTTTAATGATAGAATCATTATCCTGACTCTATTTTTTTCTCTTTTCACCAATTAAGTGTGGAAAGCTTTTCAACAGGCAAACATAATTTCATAACACAAAGCCCTAGATTTGTTTCTTTTGGTTTCTTCAGATACAAAGCACCTCAGGCTCCCTGTGGCTAGCCCAGGCCTCCTTTAAGGCCTGGCATCTACAGCCCACTCTCAGTTTATCTTGCTCTCAACCAAACATTGGACTTTGTTCTCATTATGCAGAAGCAATTGGGACTTCTTCCAGTGTCCTTACTCCTCATCCAACCTCCCCTAAAGTGTGTCCCCCTCATGCCTATGTACACCACTATCAGGCACCAGAGGTGTGCATGCTCACCACATACCAGGTCAACACCTGACAGGGTAGATTGTTGAAGCCGAGCAACTTCCTCCCATTGGGAGCTGAGCGTCCTGTTGCTACCAATACAGCCACCAGACCCTTGGATGCCAAGATCAGACTATAGTCTCGTGATCCCACCTGCCTTGGCTCTGATTGATGTAGCAACAGTATCTGTCGTACGGGCTGTTCTGCTTATAAGAGCAAACGATCACACTGTCCTGGGGCACAAAGAAGATGCTATCCTCTGGCTCAGGGCAGTCCGATCTGTCCCAGGCGGAGCCTTTGACATCCAAGGCACTGTAGGCAAGGGAACTGCCCGAGGGACAGTAGCCGTCCAGGTATCTGGATGTCTCCTCGGGACGGCAGCTGGGGACCAGGCTGTGGCATTCCCTCTCCTCCGTGGGCGTGGGGGTGGGGCTGGGGGAGGTGATGGAGCTGGCCATGGGCACCTCACCCTGCCCCAGGGGCAGCGGCTTCCCTCTGAGGCCGGCCTTCTTAGCCAGCTCATCCGAGCTGCCCTTGCCCGACTCCAGGTCCGAAGGGGTCCTCAGCAGTTCCACGACCTCCTTGTCCTTGGGTTTCCGGAAGCAGGGCAATTTGCGGACCCACAGCAGCTCGTTTTCGGGCCATTTGGTGCAGCCCTCGGTTTTCCTGGCCAAGGCAATGGCCGCGATGCCTGGTAGGCAGATGGCTGGCCCGATGGCCAGGAGGGGGATGTTGCCCAGCGTCTCTCCCTTCATCCCAGAGACGGTGAACATGAAACCAAAGACCAGGAAGACGCTGACCAGGGCCACCACCAGCCCAGTCCTCGGATTAATGTCATCAGGCCGCATCTTTCACTCCATCCAGGTTTGGGGCTGTTGGCTGGAAGGGGGAGCAGAGTTTGCCTTAGCTTCTGTCAGAGGCGAAACCACAGAGGGTCAATAAAAGAGAGAGAACATTCACTCCAAGTTCCCACTCACCAACTTTCAGTCTCTGGCTCTTTGGGAACGTCCCCCAGTATCTGTCTGGCAATCTCGGTCTCTCTTGTAATCTCTGTCTCTCCCTGTCTCTCTGGCGATCTCCCTCTTCCTCTCGTGTCCTCTTCCCCTCCGCCACCCTTCCTTCCTATTGCATCCCCCCCCCAACCCCATAGCAACACGCGCTCACACCATGCACTAAAACGCATGTCGGGGGGCCACAGAGTTACCTGCCGCTTCGTGCCGCCTCCTGCGAGGAGGGACGGGAGAGTCTGAGTCTCTCCAGACGCTGCGCTTCTCAGCAGCTGCCCCCTCGGTTCTCTCGGTCCCTGGAGACAAGCCTGCTTTCCCCTCCCTCCACGGATACCACATCCAGAAAGGAGAACGAAAGGGAGCGTGGTTCCCAGTGGGTCTCCGCTCAGGCGGCAGCTCCTGGGCGCAGCCAGAGGAGGACGCAGCGCTCTGGGGAGCGGGGAGCGCGCGGCTAGGACTTGGCTAGCTTGTCCCGGTTGGGGGTGGGGGGTGGGGGGAAGCGCTTTAGCCTCGGCAGGGGAGAAAGCACGCGCGAGAGCTCCTTACATCGCTGGCACAGGCAGGCTCGCGGGGGGCGCAGGGGGTAGGACCCCTCCCCCCAGAGGCCACGGGGCTCCTCCAGTCTTGTTGGGGTTCCCCAGGACCGCCGGGGTTCGTTGTTCCTCTGCCCAGCTCGGGTGAGCGCTCGGGTGTGCGCTGGGGCGGGTGTAGGGCGCGAGGCGGCCAGTGGCTGGCGAGAGTTGGGAACCGTGCACCGGTTTCTTCAAGGGGGCAGCTGTTGGACTGCCCGCATCTGGGTTGCAGGTTGGGGTGTGATGGTTTAGGGAACAGCTGGAGGGAGATGTGCTAGGGAGCAGTAGGCGTCTCCAGCTACACATCGGAGTGATCTACAGCGGTGGTGGCGTGGGAGGCGGAGAGTCGGGGTGTGTGTCTGGGTTCTGGAATCGCCCTTCCCTCCACCTAGCTTCTCCGGGGTCCCTCAAAGGACCCACAGCTTACAGACTGCACCCGGCGGGCGCTGTAGTGGCCTCACGGAGGAGTGGTCCTGGCCAGCGCTGCGCTGAGTTAGTTTGGGGTGAAGGATAGGTTCCCGGGGCTGGGGTGAGACACCTTTCAGGGGGGTCTTCCAGCTCTGGACCTGCAGAGGATGGCTTTGAACTTCCACACCATGTGGGCCTGGCTCCATGTAGGCCGGCTGGAGCATGGAAGGGCCCCTTCTCCACGCCCCCCTGCTGAGTATTCCCGCTGGTGAGAAGTGGGGGCTTGGCTGGAAGGATCGCACTGCCTGCTCTGGCCCCAGGAGCAAGATAGAATTTGGCTGAGATTCTTCAGCAGAGCCAACCATTGAGGGTGGAGGAGGGCGGTGGGGATGGTATTCCACGCCCAGGCGCTGCCTTGGAGAAAGCAATTGTGTGTGTGTGTGTGTGTGTGTGTGTGTGTGTGCGCGCGCGCGCGCGCGTGCTTGAACTCAGGGCCTCAGGCAATTGCTTTTTTTTCCCTTTTGCTTTTTCTTTATGTTTTCTACTCAAGGTGGGTGCTGTAGCCACCCCAGCCACACCTCCACTTCTGGCTTTTTTTTTTCCCCTCTCCTGCTTATTTGAAGTTAAGAATCTCATGGACTTTTCTTTCTGGGTTGGCTTTCTCAGCCTCCTGAGGCACAAGCCGTCAGTGTGCAGATGGTGAAAAAATTTTGACACACAGATCTTCTCTGGATCAGCCAGCGGTGTGTTCCCAGGCAGGCAGCTCAACCCTTCTGAGAGTCAGCAGTCCTTCCTATCTGTAAAATGAGAATATTAATACCAATTTATATGAAGGAGCATTGTGAAGATGAAAAGTGTGTCATCATCACTGGTGTTCTTTGTTATATGAGACAATACCAAACCATAAAAGCCTGACCGTGGGACTAAGTCCTCTTTGTCCACTAGGCAGTGAAGAACAGTGGAAATACTTGAAGCAGAGATCAGTACAAAAGTATTCAGTTTTTGACAAATAGCCACAGCAGAGGAGCAGATATGGCTGAAGCATAAAGACTCTTGAAGAGTGTGGTTAAGACATGAGGTGAGTATGAAGGAGGTCAGCTAGTGGACCTGTGAGCAGAAGGTGGATCTGAAGGATAAAGTGGTTTGGAGCATAGGGAAGGGAGATGGAGGGATGTGCTGAGAAGGATCAGGAACCAGCATTCTCCTCATTTTTTCACTCCTATTATCTATCCTATGTGTCTTCTCCCCATGCTCACTAGACAGCTGCTCCACCTTTGGGTTTAGAACAGAAGAAAAACAAGGAGGAGGAGGAGGAGGAGGAGGAGGGGGAGGAAGAGGAGGAGGAGGAGGAGAGGAGGAGGAGAAGGAAGAAGAGAGAAAAGGCAGAGGGCAAAAGTGAGAGGCCAGGTATTTGGCCATTTCTGTCAGAAATATAGTAGTTTTCCTAAGTAGCTATGCATTTGCTTATAATGGGCTGGAAGGTTGTGCTGTGGACCACAAAGAAGCCTGGGAAATGAAGTCCGTTTGTGACACAGATTCATGGTTGCTTTGAAAGAAAGTCAGGGTTTTGTTAAAAAAAAAATAGAGCCGGACACCAGTGGCTCATGCCTGTAAACCTAGCTACTCAGGAGGCTGAAATCTGAGGATCATGGTTCAAAGCCAGCCTGGGCAGGAAAGTCTATGAGACTCTTATCTCCAATAAACCATTCAGAAAACTGGAAGTGGTGCGTGGCTCAAGTGGTAGAGCGCTTGCCTTGAGCTGAAGAACTGAGGGACAGCGTTCAGGCCCAGAGTTCAAGCCCCATGACTGACAAAAAAATAATAAATAGGAGAGCGAATATAGGAAAAATAACTGCTGTGTGTACTCCAATTATTGGACACTCTTTCCTCTAGCCTGTCTCCTCTCCCTACCTCTACTGACACCTGTCCTGAGTGCTTCCCTATCCCCCTGCTTACTCATCTGAAGGCTACTTCCTAAACAAGTATTTTAAGTCTTGACAAATTCCTTAGATGTTGGTGCTCAATCACTTTTGTTTTTGTTACTTCCTTTCCCTGATTTCTCTTGTCTTCTTCCATGTTCTATAGTCATTCCAGACTGCCTGGATAGGCAGGTGCCTCTGGAATCTCTTTAGCTTGTCCTCTTTTCTCAGCTGTGGATCTGCTTAATACCGTAGTCTGTAGATAGTGCATAGACATTCGGCCTTCAGCCTGACACAAACCAAGGCCATCACGAGAAGGAGCAAGACTGCTCTTTCTCATTTGGCCCTGTCATTTCTCCAGTTTGCTGGCTGAGAATATTTGAAATTGTCCTCTATTCTTCTAAAATTAATTAATTATTATCTTTAAGTAGTTTCACAAGGGAGCTGTCATTTAACCAAGCAGCTTATGAATATAATGTATCTTTTCTTTCTCTAGCAACCTACATTCAGTAAATCACTCAAGGTATCATACTTTTATTTCTCGTCTCTTGATCATTTCCCCATCACCTTGTGAAGGCAAGTAGTAAGTCACTTTACCTTCCCAAGTGTCAACTTCTTATAAAGATTTTGGATCAGAAGCCAGCTGAGGTCCAGTTCAGCCCTAATATTCCTTGGTTCTAAGCTGCTCATTTCTGCAGGGTTGAATGGACATGGGTGTGTGGCAGGTGCTCTGACCATGGTGCTGAAAACTCCATTGGGTGCTAGAGAAAACAGAGTTGTTGATACAAACATCTAATTCCCTCTGGCTTTGAAACCATCCAGTTCAACTAGTTAGGCATTAAATAAGATCCATGCATAAAACCAAAGGAAACATTAATTACTATTTAATTAGAAGCCTCATTTTCAAAACAATTCCTTCCAGGAGGTAATTTTAGATGATCTGTCAACAGCAAGTATATTTGCCCAAGCCAGCAACAATAGTGGGTAGAGCTGAGAGACAGCATTCGGAGACAGGTAACTCTTGGTGTTTAATTTCTTGCTTGTATGGGACAATTGCAGTAGGATTTTGGAACCTAAAGTCACTCTTCCAATGCTGTGAGCACCTACAGCTGTGTGCAAAAGCTTTCCATTGTCAGAGAAAGAAAATTCAGGTTGAAATGAAGCTTTGGCATGTGAACATTTCAGAAGACAGAAACCCTTTATTTTTGAAATTATAGAAATTTTGACAAGCCACCATTTGTAGATACCTAGTAAAATATCTACAACTCTTTATTGTACAAATGAAATCCAGAAAGGTTTCCTTCATGGTATGACAGTAAAATACTGGATAAGCTGGAAATGTCCAGCAACAGAGGGACAATTATATGTTGTATACTGCCTCCACTGGACAGTCAGTGGAGAGAATAGCACATAGGCATACAATTAAATGTTAAAATATTGATTGTACTTCTCCTGAAAAAATGTTCTCAGTAAAATATTAAGTGAAAAATCCTAAGAATAAAGAATTTTATACATGATTGGGCCTTGACTACTAGAGGAACTATAATAGAAAAAAGACAGAAAGGCATTCTCTCAAAAAATCAGTAGTGCAGGCTGGTGCTGGTGATGCACACTGATAATCCTAGTAACCCAGGAGTAGCCTGCCATTCCAGGCCAGTCCAAGACCAAAAGGATTGACACCATTGACACCATCATCCATTTCCTCTCTAGGACTGAGCTTATTTAACAGTTTAGATCTCTCTCCACTTTTCTCTTGATTCTGAACAAGATCTTTTGGTGTGGGCAAGAAAATAGAGAATTCTTTTCTTTTTTTTCTTTATTTTGCCTGCTGTGGAGCTTGAAGCTTGGCACTGTCCTTGAGCCTCTCTGTGCTCAGGGCTAGAGCTCTACCACTTGAGCCACCGAACCACTTCCGGCTTTTTCTGTTTATGTGGTACTGAGG